AGTTTTAGCGGGTGATGATTGTACTCTCTGCAAAGAAAAGGGTATCTGTGAGAAGTTATTCTCTGGACACGTGCAGCAAGGCTTGGCTGCCTTAAAGGAGTTACAAAGTTTGGTTTTCCCCACTCTTTAGGAAATTCAGTCTATCGTTCTGTTTCTCAGACTTGGGGTGGGATTGAGAGTCCTGAAAGAAGAGGCAGTACCAGTCTTAATCCCAGGGCGCTCCATGACACCCCTCAAGGGCTGGCAGAGCTGACACAGGACCTGTGCCCCCCTGGAGCTGTGGCTGGAGCTCAGGTGAGAGAGCCCAGGGTGCCACTGGATGCTGGCATTCAGGCGGCTGGCTGGTGTCTCACCTGCTACACCACAGCACGTGCAGCCTGCTCCGTGCCTGTCCCTGACGGGGATGCTGCCACGCACCCCACAGAAGGAGCAGGAAATGTAGCAGCAGAGAATGAAAACTTTCTCTGATGCCAGGGCAGATGCTGGGGTTTGACTTATGCCATAAAACCTGGGCATGTTTACTCCCTCCCGGAAGAAGCACTCGGGACACTTCTGTAAGTGCAGAGCTCGTGCCCACAGGTACCTCACCTCTGATGAAAGGCTCCGTTAGCACTGCAACACCCACGGGCGTGAAAGCAGAGAGCAGCCTGCAAGTCTGCTCCCTAGATAAGGTGACTCTTCTGTCACTGACTACAATCTCTTCGGGAAGGGACAAGGGGTGAACTACGCTGCTTCTTCTACTACCACAGGCACAGTTGTTCTTTCAAAAACCAGTGAAACGTGGTGGCAAGCCCTTGTCTCCAAGCCCAAGCTCCCGCCTGACAACGGGAGAACCAGGCGTTGGAGGAACGCTGGCGAGCCCATGACATGCGCGGTGCGTCGCGCGTTGCCGTACGCCGTTCTTCGTCGTCAAATTTCAGACTTTCTGCTGAAGATCTGCTTACACAAAGCCACCACCAGCCAGCCACCGGAGCCAGCCACTCAGCCGCTGACTGCACTGAATTCCCACCGTGTTAAGTTTTCCTACAATAACCTGACACACAGGTGCGGGAAGAGGGAGAGAGGAACCCAGCTGGCTGCAGCAGGGGTGTGACCTAGGCCTTGCCTACCTGCGAGGCCGGGCAGCTGCTCCCTGCCTTCCCGTGGGGTGAGAGGCCCTGCCTCTCGGCGCTCTGCTTGGTCACGGTGAGGACGATGTGGGTCCCTGTGGAGTCGGTGATGAGGGTGGGGGGAGGGGTGCCCTTGATGAGGTCGCTCAGGGCGCTCCCTTGCTGGCCAAGGAAAAGCCGCGGGCTGTGGGACTGGCACGGTGGCTCGGCTTCTGCGGCTGGCACCTCCTGCTTCACCATCACGGCTTTCTTTGGCACGGAGCTTGGATTCGAAGTGTCCATTTGGCTAGCGGTCGGTGCAGGGCTGAATTGGTCTGTTTGGCCACTGGATTGCTTTGCGGACTGGCAACTCAGGAAACCGTTTTCACTCTTCACCTGGGTGCCAAATGCTACGGGGTTGGAGGCGAGGGCTGTTCCTTCTCCTGCAGCCGCTGGGAGTGACTGCTGGGAGCGCTTCTCCTGCTCCAGCTGTAGTCTGAGCATCTCGACCAGCTGCTGCTTCTGCTTCAGCATGCGGGTGAGTTCCTCGATCTGCTTGTCCTTCTCCTGCAGCATCTGGTCTTTGTCCCGAACCTCTGCATCCCTGCTGTTACCGGTGCTACACCGCTCCGACCTGGGTGCCGCGTTTACACTGCAGGAGGCAGCCTTGGAGCTTTCTTCCTTCACCAGGAACTGCACTGGAGACGCCTGCAAGGTGAGCTGGGTGAGGGGGGAAGTCACCATCTCTCCAAAGGTATCTCCGGTGGCCGAGTTCTCGTCCCCTGTGCTCATTTGGGAACGCTCAGAAGGAGTTGGAGAAACAGGAGGAGTGGAGCCTGTGCTGCCAAACTTCATCACGCCTCCACCGGTGACTGTGGCCACGACTACTTCTGCTGGTGCAATGCCAGTGGTGACCAGGGCTGGCCCCGTGCTCAGCCTGGCAGCCGGGAAGGCTACCACCACTTCGGCAGCTTTTGGGAGGACGCCGGCTGGGCTGGGCTTGGGAGTGGGGGCAGTTTGGCCGGCTGCACCATTCTGCTCTTGGTAAGCTCTGAGACGCTCTATCAGGTCCGTCTTTGTGCCCGAGACAGGCAAGGCCCTCAGCTTCAGCTCTTGCTTCAGCTCCGCTACCTGAAGGGGGGGAGAAAGGAGAGAGCACCGCTAAGAGAACACACGCTCTGACCAGAATAACAATTAGCAGCTATCAGAGCCATGTGGAAAAGGACTAAACCGACGCTCCTGCAGGCCAACAAACCCACACCTTGCGTACCGGCTGCAGGGCAGCAATGCCAGCTGCTATTGCTAAGTCCTGCCAGGCCACCTCAGCCCTGTGCTGGGGCAGCAGCGTCACTGAGTACCGCCCCCTGACGACGCCAAAACATGGGGCCATGCAGCTTCCCAGGACACTCACCTTCATCTCGTCCAGGTTGGCAGGGAGAGGGCCAGGCTTGCCCACTGCAGCATTACTGTTCTGTCGCATCAGCCCACTGGAACCAGAGGATATCGAAGACGCACTGTTGACTGTGGCAGAGAGGCTGCGTACAGCAGAGGCACCGGCACCACTCTGCTGCTCTCCCGGAGGCCTGCAGGGAAAAGAAGACACAGGTGTCAAAACCAAGGTGGGAAGGCACCAGAGGCCCTCAGTGTCAACCACGTATCCGTTCAGAAACGTCTGGGTCGCTCGTGCCACCCTAGGCAGGAAAGCACACCAACGTCTTTGACTGTGCCCCTTACTCTGCCCACCGACTCGTGTCAGCTGCTTCTGTCTGATCCAGCTGACTGCGGCCCTTTTTGAGGCCCACTGTAACCTAACAAGATCGGGTGCATCACGCCCGCTCGCCACACCCAGAACGCCACGTTGCTGATACCAGGAGCAGGGAAGCAAGTGCTTCCCAAGGGAGAGCTGCTACCCGGGACCCATACTTAGGTGGGGCTGGCAGGATGGTCTGATAGTTGTAGTGCTGCTGCTGTTGCTGGTTGAGGATCTGAAGCTGGAGAAAGAGCTGCTGCTGCTGCAGTATTTTGGCGTAGGATGAATCCATGGGAGGAGCTCCCTTGTCCTGCTTTTGGTCCGGGGGAATATACTGATGATATTTAAGCTTCTTGACTTTCGGCTTCAACTCCTTGGCTTTTTTACTGCGCTGAGACTTCTCACTAGCAGACTTGGGCTGGCTTTGCTGTTTAGAAGGAAAGGAGGAAGCGGGTAAGAATGGGAACACTGACCGACCGTAACACCCCATGTAAACCAGACCACACACTGGGATTTTCATTTCAGAATTCTCCAGATCTGACCTCCAGGTCTGTCCACACCTCTCTCACTCGGGAACAGGACAGCCACAGCACCCGCAGCAGCTTACACTGCACCTCAACGCAGGTCACCTTTCCCAGCACAGCAGATCACCTGCTTATCCAGTGCAGGCTCACTGGTTACCAGTAACGCTGACTGTTTCAAAATGCTCTGTGTGGACCCATTTTACAGAAGGTGAATACAGTGTGGAACGGTGGAACCTATTAAATATGTCACAACTAGTGTCAGAGGAAGACCCCAGTGAGAAATGAGCTTCCCTTCCTTGGCATCTGTTAACACAATGCTTCCCACCCCAAACCTTCTTCAGAGCAACCACCTTATCTTCCTTCAGACTACAGCAACAAAGAAAGCAGCCGAAGAGTACCTTAATGAGTGTTGGTGGGGGCTTGGCAGCTGTAAGAGCCGCGCCGTTGGTAAGACTAGGAGGCAGAAGAGGTGGAGGTGGCAGAGGCGGGGGTGGCTGTTCAGGTAGGAAAAGTGTTTCACTGGAGTCTGCGCTAATCTGCAATTGGGATGTACCCTGCAGGGACAGAAAAAGGCATAATGAATACTCATACGAGGAGAGAAACGGTTTAAGAGTGCAGGAAGTGTCCGCTTACAGGGAAGCAGCACAGGTTTCAAGTCATTGATTAGATCCTCTCAGCCACTGCTTCAGCGGAGAAGCAGCACAAGTTCTTAGGACAGTAAAGAAATCCCAATCCCACACCTGTATCTCCCAGCTCTGCCTGACAGAATCAGTTGCACAAGGGTGGCATCGCCAAGCAATGACCGCCCCCTTTCCCACAAGGCACCACTGCGGGGGCTTCTCAATAACCAGAGGACTCCACTGACACCGCACAGCTACGACCCCGAGTGAAATCTCACAGACTATACCTTTTAAGGATCCCTGGGTCTCACTTGCCACCGCATTCTCACCTGAGCTAGCGGTGTGCCAGTGGTGCTAGGGAGAGGTTCACAAATCCGGGAGTCCATCGGTGATGGGACAGACCCCTGGGACTCATGGCTGGCTGGCTGTTCCGGGGAGAGGGCATCACTGCTGTCCTCATCAAAGGAGGAATTGTCTGCAACCTTTGGGTAGTTCACCTGTCCAACTAAAAAACACAAACATCAACTGTGGTCTCCGAAGTGGCGTAAGGAATCCTTTCACTTGACACTGGACGTTTCACGGAGGGAACAAAGGCATGGAGAGAGTTGTGTCTGAGCTGCACTTACAGGAAAAATGAGAGAACAGAGTCCAAACTGGAATGTGAATGCTTAAAAGTGATCATCTCTGCTATCAGTAGAATAAAATGATGCAGACTGGGGTGAACCATTTCCCTTGCTTCTTAGCCAGACGAGATCAGAAGTATAACAAGAGCTCTCTAACTCTGCCCGAAGCCAGATCTGTGGCATGGCTTATCTGACTGCCAGCTGGCACCAAAGAAGGTGGTTAGACAGGGTAAGGGGGAGTCATGGTTTCTTTGGCATTCACCCTGTGTGGTGGATTCAAGGCAGAATCCCAAATTGTCCTCTACAAGTAACGAGGGCTATGGAGTGCGTGCTGCCCCTGACCGCTGTTAGCATCTCTGTCTACGTGTCCCGTAGATAAATTCAGGTGATGCCCTAATGGGTTCTAGATTTCATTATCTCACATCAATCCTGGTCGTTCATACCTAACGTAAAAGCAACAGACCCCCAGGGAGAGGTACTTTGCTCAGTCAGAAGGCAGCCACATCGCTAATGCTCCAGTTCACAAGCCGACTCCTTCTCCTCCTCACCCACTTTCTGTGGAGCAGCGAAGCCGGGCTCTCCCACAACACCGCCCTTTTCCTTTTTCATGAACACTATTCCGCCTTGCTCACAGTTGTGTCCCATTTGTCTTTGCAGTAGCTGTGCGTGTTTGAGGGGAGGAACAACCACAGACGCACACGACCGCTCCGTCTTGAAAGAGTGCTGTTAAGGCAGTGGGAAGGCTGTTCCTCAGCGTTCCTTTCAGCCCTTGGAATGGCACTGGCATGATTTACATCTGTTCTGGTTTATTTTTAAAGGGGTTGAACCCTCTGAAGTTTTTAAGTTCACAGACAGCTTTTGTTACATCACACCTGTTTATGTTCTGTCTCCTCTCCCTGATCTGAGTAAGTCAGTGGGTTCTCCCTGCCCAACGTTGCTGACATGCTATACCAAGAGAGGGATTTTTAAGGACAGAATCCATTGAATGCCATCTTCAACAGTGTTTGAAGGCTTTAGGGTTCACAATTGCTGTCACGTTATTCTGGGATGCCCATACTCTCTATAATTTAACGTGTCCGTAGCACTATCTGGGCCAGTTCTGCTTTTCAGAACCCTTGGGGCTGACAGCCTGTGATTCTGAGACAGGAAAACAAGACCAGCCATGGGACTGCACGCTCTTAGCAGGCAGGTGACTGATAGAAAATCACAGCCACCCACGGGAAATGCCCTCAACACGGATCCTCCTCTGGCCTTACCGATAATGGCCTCCTTCAGGCTCGACTCCACAGGCAAGATGTTCTTTTCCACCAGCTCCATGGGACCTGGCCTCTGCGCTATCTTCTCGTTGAGGTCATCTGCCAGCCTGGCTCTCTTTAGCTTCAGCTGCTTAGCCTGCAAGGAGGGTTCAGCCGAGGTCTCTGTTCAGGAGAAAGTCAATGAAATGGCATCAGTCCAGCAGCGGTCAACCTACACCCTTCAGCAGTACCTTACCTCTGTTCAGAAAGGTAGCTGCAGCTGACTGTACAGCAAAACAGTTGCAGGTAACAGTAGATACCTATGCACGATAAGGATTTTCTGGATATTAAGTCTATTTCAGTTATAAAGATAACTACAGCAGTCCTCATGACTCTAGAATAGGACAAATGCACTGTTCTCAAACTGAGGCCACCCAGTTCTCGTCCATCTTTTCCCTCTCAGTTGTGTCCAGAGATGTGGTGCTCAGCAACAGCAGTACTCCCTCCCTGAAACTGAGGCGCTTACTGATCACATCGAACCTGCCTCACTCCCCTCGGGTGTTCTAGTGTCTTCCCTTGGCAGAAGAGCTATCCAGGGTCATTCCATGTCATTGCTGCTCAGCTACACAAAACTGCACAATCTGAGTTCACGTTAACAGATTCTCCTGAGAATCTCCATGCAAGCAGAGTTGGATCCCTCCCAAGAAATCATGCAACAGGCATGATCTTCTGCCTGCTCCCAACTGAAACAAAGACTTGGGGGTCAGAGCCAAAATAGAAAGCTGTTAAATAAGTAATTACAATAAAGTTCCTTGTTGCTGTTTTCATGTTTAGCACGTGCCGTACCTTCCAGTATGTGCATCCTAACCAGCTCCGATCTCTCTGGCCGGGACCGTATTTTCCGTTTCAGATAGTCCTCTGTCTGCAGCAAAAAGAACCAATTTCAGTTGATCAGACACAGGAGTGAGGTAATCTTGGACAGCACAAACGAGAGAAACAACCATCTTTAGTTGTTACTGAGAACTAAATCAACACAGAAGGACCATATCTTCTGCTCAGCACCCAGAGAATGAGCTCATTCTAAAGATGACCTGCTGCTGTAATCGCCTCAGCCCAACTGTGCACTGCTGCGCCACAGAACAGAAACTGGAAAGGACTTCCTCAGGAGCTGAAGCCCGCTTTTCCTCTTTTATGCAATACCACTGACTCCTGTCAGGGTGAACTTCGAGACATTTCTTCTTACATTAAAGATAAAAGCATCGGTTCCGTTGTTCACAGCACATACGTGCATGTACTGCTGGCACGCAGGGCTGACGGGGGGCTTGGGTGTACCCTTTCATTTGTTTACAGACGCCTGTGAAGCTAAAGACCCGATGCAGTCCCTTGGCAGGCAGAACCTAAATGCTGTGGACAAGACTCGTTTCATTTGCAGAGCTGCTTTTCGCTCTGTCTTTGGAGAATGCACTACGGAGCAACGTACAGAGATGACCCTGCCTGGGCTGAGCCCGTTACCCTTTCTGCGGCCCAGGAATGGGCACCTGGGAGCAGCGGGCGACGGACTGGGAAGTGAAAAGAAATACTGAAGTCAGTCAGAAAACTGCACCATACTTGCACACTTACCCACACCAAAATATTAACGTAATAGGAAGGTTTTAAGAAAAAAGAGGAGGAAGAAGCAAAAGCCTCTGGGACATCGGTCTTCATGCCAAGTCTGCTGCTCCAATCCTCACACAGTTTAAGGTGCTAACACTCCCTGACAGGTTTCAATCACAGCTGTTAGTCTTTTACGTATGTTGCTTTCACTTTTAAAACAAAGCTTAGCCCCGCAGTCATAACAGGTTTTATTCCCCTGCAGGCCAATCAGAAAAAAATCCCTATCCCCAGAGGCCTTTTGAGGAACAGAAATCATTGAGAAACCCTCCATGAAGTGTGACACCTGACTTCCTCTTTCTATAGAGCCATAAGCCTGTGTGATTACGGTGTTACAAGGTTTGGAAGGGGTGTCCTCTCTCTTCAGTTCTCAGTTTCTAATATCCTAGATACACAAGCGCACCTGCAGGTAACAGAGAAACCATCCACTTTCCTCAAAGGTGGAACTGAGCCCCATGGGATAGGAGCATTCGGGGCAAAATGGACACTACAAAAATAACAACGGAAAGTATATGGACAGTGGGGAAGAAGAACATCAGAAGACTCTAGGGGAAATCCAGGCACCATATTCAGCGGGTTTTAGGCACAACTAAGTTCACCAAGGGTTCACCACCACCACCACCTACTCACTAAAGAACACCCCATCCAATACATCTCTAACTAGGTAGCGCTGTATTATGTCTGGAATAGGAACAATTCCCTTCTGCATCTCGTTACCAGCTACAGGATGCCCAAAACACAGGGTGTGCTACTCCTGACTTCCCCAAAATGTTAAAGACAACATTGCCGCTTACCCTGGCCCGCTCCAAGCTCCTTCTTTGTTCGTGAAATGCAGCTGGACTTTTCAGAGCTGTTGAGAGGAAAACATTTGGAGAATGGATTAGAAAGCTGGAAGTTCTCTGGCTGCACATCCCTTCAGGCCCACCAAGTTGACAAACCCACGGCAGCACCTGCCTCCTGCATCTTTCAGCACACCGGAGCAGATCCCCATGGTGTAAAGCCATGTGAACTGCCATGCTCCACTTGACAGCACAGGGGCTACAGGAACTGACCTGGGCTTTCTGTGGGCCGCTGAGGAGACCAATACGGGTACGCTTCTAGTCAAACTGACCACTGTTCACAAAGTCTGGTCCAAGAACATGAGTCAGAACCAGCCCCCAACAAATGCCTTTTACCAGCTTCAACAGAGAGTAAGATATCCAGGACCCTTGAGTAAGGGAATGGCACTGAGACATGGAAGAGATAGATGAAATGGTTGGAAGGATGGGGGAGGATCTTAATGAACTGTAAATCCTCTTTACCACCGCTGAATGTCAAAGGAAGCTGCAAGTCTTCCCTTAATCTGCACCTGTGTTTTGTGTACATGCAAAGGCTGGCTGCAAATTCTGCAGGTCCACGGGACATACATAGTGCTCCATGTAAGAGAAACTATCGTGAGAAGAGGAACACTTGGACAGGAAAGTACATCTGTCTCTTGACAGAAAACCAAGACTTGAGGAATTAACAGCAGCTCTCCATATAACAGACCTCCTCGCCCCCTCGGGCCCAGGGGAAAACCAGAGCCAAAATGGATCATGTTTTAAGAAACTGATCCTCTGCTGTCCAGGACCGTACTAACCCTGGAGGAATCTCTCACCCTGCCCAGCTCCCCTGGAGCACACAAAGCTCACGTCCCACACTAAAACCGGAGAAAGAGGGTGACATGAGTTCTAACCCGGCACCGGTAAGTGTCACTAGCTCCTCACAGTTTTCCCAAATCCACAAGCAGCCTGGGTTTTAAAACAATCACATTGTGACTTGTATTCACAACTAGCTGAAGGAAACATGGTAATTTCTCTTCATATTTCTGAAATACTCATATTTAAAACTGCCTGGTGAAGCTTCTAAATTACCATCAAGCTAAACAGCAAAGCTAAAAAACTTCAGCTTTAAAGATAAGCTGCGAGTCATTTGAAGACAGAAATCTAAACTTGCAGAGTTAGTAACTCCAAACTACTGCATCTTCGTCCTATGAAATATAGTCTGCTCATGTCATTTTTCACTTAAGATCAACGATCAAATACTTCTCAAATGTAACTTCATAATGAAATCTCAAAAGACTAATAAAAAATAAAAGCACTTATATAAATGGAATGTAAAAAACTACTTCTAGTGCATGTGTAGGCTTCTAAACTCTTTCATACAGAATAAAAAAGAGTAGCCAAAGACAAAGTCTTAAGACAGACACACTCTCTGCAAAATACAGACAGTCCCTCTAGGTTCCCAGCAATGGGGTAAAAAATAGAGGTTAGTCCACATGCCAGGAATTCTGAACACACCAGGGCATCGTGGATGGGATTCAGGCTACAGAAATGAATGAAGAATAAGCTGTAGAATAAACTGGCCATAACTGAAAACTACCCATAGCGAGTGAGTATACAGACCCCTACAAAGATGGGGCAAATAGCTCCCGTTCAGATTAAAGGTAGTTGCGCACAGCCTGGAGAGAAATCACCAAAGAAAGTTCTGCAAGCTGTGAAATGGGAGCCCACTGAGTGCACTCTGGGATAAGCCAAAGCAAGGGCAGAGATGGGGTTTTGCAGTAACTGCAAAGATAAGACAAAAACTTCCCTGGCCAGCTGAGACATCAACTCCTGGGCACTCTGACATCACACTGCGCCGAAGAGCAAGCAACAAGTAATACTGGGAAATTCTCTTTTCAGGCCCCATGAAGTGCTTGTGAATATGCACGTGCTTGAACTCAAACAGGCATTTCTTTCATCGTACGCATATCGCAGGAAAGTGAACTAGGGGTTCGGGTGCACGCAGGCGAAGATACCACGCAATACATAAACTGGTTAAAAAATCTACCCTGGAGACAAGCAAAGCTGGCCTCATCTGGAGTCTTCCAAAGCTCCCTACCAGCAGAATGTGCAGGCACAGCAGTAACGCTTTACTCTCCCCTTCCTGCCTACCTCTGCCATCAGTAAGAGGCAGCACATGAACTTTAGGTGACATTTCTTCTACCACAGTAAACGGTCAGGAAAGTCAACGGCAGGAGTCCAGCTGATACCACAGGTAGTCGAGGAAAATGTTTGCACATGGAAGAACAAAACAAGAAGAAAAGAATCCCTGGAAAAAGAAGAAAAGCCCTCCCCCCAAACACATTAACTAGTAAGTAATGCAAAACTGCTACGGGAAGAATCTTGTAAAGAACAGCTTCAGCCTCTCATGACTAGCCCGCTGGAAACAAGCGCTGGGTTACAGCCCTCTGGGCTGGCACCAGGACAGCGGACCTCATATTCAACTGCTGAAAATGTCAAGAGGGCGCAAAGCCCTCACCGCTTCCCTCAGCAATCTGGGATGGGGCTGTTGTGTCAGAAGAGGGGGTCTGTTGTAAAATCATACTCCATTCCAAGTTAATGGAGCCTTGCACATTTTTCTGGCTTTGAAATGACTACATAGCCCAGAGCTGTGAAGCAACTCTGTTAACTTTTCTACAGCAAACAAACAACAAAAAAATCCTATGGGGAATTCTGGAAGCTGGGGGGGACTTTTTACAAGGGCCTGTAGTGACAGGACAAGGGGTAACGGGTTTAAATTGAAAATGGGGAGTTTTAGATTGGATATCAGGGAGAAGTTCTTCCCGGGGAGGGTGGTGAGGCACTGGAACAGGTTGCCCAGAGAAGCTGTGGATGCCCCATCCCTGGAAGGGTTCAAGGCCAGGCTGGATGAGGCTTTGAGCAACCTGCCCTAGTGGAGGGTGTCCCTGCCCATGGCAGGGGGGTTGGAACTGGGTGGGTTTTAAGGTCGCTTCCAACCCAAACCGTTCTGTGATTCTGTGATTCTCAGCTTTTATAGAGCTAAATTATCATTAAATAATGCTTCTCAGTTATCTGTCCCAGCCATGCTGCCTTATTTGTGTACATGAAATGCGTAGTATGTTCACTTGTGCTTGGCTCACATACCATGAAAGGTCTCCAATCCTCTCCTGCAGAGCCACTCTATAGCCAGCCGTTCTCCATCCTCAATTCATGCCACTGACCAGACATACCAAGATGTAGAAACTCTGTGATTTTCTCTGGCTTGGTCCCATACTTCTCAGCTTCTCCAAATATTGGGAGTCCCAATCCTGTCCTCCTCCCAGCCTACTAACCTGCAAGCTTTATAAACATGCCCACCACTCCTTTGTTTACATCCCATTACTGAAAATACTGAATAGTATCCGATAGTGAGCTTCCCCCTCCCCACCCCACGCAAAAGCCCTGCTCTACACATGCTTCTAGGCCAACACCAAGCCTTTACTCCAATCCTGTTCTCTCACCAGTTGCATACGCAGCTCCAAGTTGTCCCCGCTCGCTCACACAAACGTCAGACACCCCACTCAACCCAACAAGTGCAGAAAGACATTTAACACGCTGACTTCCTGGGGAGGCAGTTCAACAAATATTTAGTCTGGTGGTAGGTCCAGCCTAAGTAGTGACCTCTTCTTCCCCCCTCCCCCATGTCCCAAGTGTTTCTGCCTTGCCACTGATGCTCCAATTGTCCCCTGACCATGCAGGGAGCTGTACTAAGGAACTGACACCATAAAGTAACTCCAGCACCTCCCCAGTGGCACTTGCCCCTCCCCAAAACCACGTACTAGATAACTCGGTTTGAATCCTTAATCCAGCTAACTGCGTGGCCAGCAAAATTCTGGGTGAGCTCCTGGTGAGAACAGAGTGCTGCCAGAGGGGAAAAAACCCTCGCCAAATGACAACAGTAGTTTTAGCTCTTGGGAGTTTTTCTTTTCCAGTGTATGCAGAAAAAAAATCCCTTTCTATTTCTCTTCTACTGAGATGAGAATGCAGAAGTAACTTCTGCAATTCCCCATTTCTGTTAGGGATACCTTTTGCCTACCTGACTTTGTTTCTACATGGTATGGGTGCGGTATTTTCATCATCCATAAACTGGGGTTACACTTTCTGTCCTCATGCCTGTACCTAGGCCTGGCACAAAGCCCTCAGTTGTTATGCTGACAAAACCGTTTGTGGACTCAGAGCACAGTTATTTTGAAAGAGTTATTTTAACCTGGATTGGTATGCTGGTTTACAGCACAGCTCACAAATGACAGTGTCAGCAAAACTGAGCAAAAACTGGTCTAGTGGAGGGTGTCCCTGCCCATGGCAGGGGGGTTGGAACTGGATGGTCTTTAAGGTCCCTTCCAACCCAAACCGTTCTGTGATTCTATGAAATGGCCAAAAAAACCCATTAAAAAATGGCTTAGTGATAGAGTGGACAATGGCTTCACCAACAAGGGCCTGGACAGCACGGTCCAGCAGGTGCCCATCACGCAGCTGTACATACCTTGGTCCCACTTGGAAAACCCTTGTTGCAAGCTGCAACATCTACTGTTAGGAGGGCGAGCTTTACCCCTCACCTTTAGATGACTGACAGCAGGACACGATCTTCCTACCACAGGTGAGCTGGCTAGCCTGGATCTCATGAAATTCCTACCACACACGTCCTAGTTTTTGAGTCTCTCTGCTACTTGTGGAGCATTTTGATGCTTCATCACCAGAATTCTGAAGCATTAATATCTTTGTGGTCACGCCCTTAGCTAACATCAAAAGTCCCCCTGGAGACGAATGGTGCAACAGTTTCGTGCCTCCACCCTGCTTCAGAAGTGTCTGCAGCTATACACTGCAACTGCTGTCCTACCCCTGACCCCCCCAAAGCTAAGCAGCAGCACACAGGACCATCTACAGTGATGCACACTTTTCCATCCATAGCACAGGACTGGAAGTTGCTCATCTTCGCTTCAAAGCAATGCATCCATTCCCATGAAACAGGGTCCCACGCTGCAGTGCAGGAGTTCAGTGTTCCCTCAGT